AATAAGTTAATTTGTGTCTTTTTCATCTCTATTTTTTCTAGACCATGTAATAAATGTCCAGATCAAATGCTTCAAGAGGTACTCAGACCCTGGGGCACTGCTGATGATCCATGCAGAACCTTCTTTGGGAGGCAATTACATCATTACCCCACTAGAATGTAAGCTACTTAAGGGCATGGACTTCGTCTGCTTTGTTCACTGTTGTATCTACAGCACCTAAAACATCTGGCATATGATGTGCACTCAATAAATATTTGTTAAGTGCATGCATGAATCAGTGGGAACACAGTCCATTCCACACGGTAAATATTTATTCATCTTTCCAAGTCCTGTTACTTTTATGTTATGTAAGGGCTTCACAGCTTACACATCATGGATGATCACAGTCCCCAAGTGAGCGAAATAAGATATTCATGAGCATGATCACCAGCAAAAACCAATTTACTTTTGAGGAGAAGCGTGACATGGTCCTATCATCCCTGAAAAAGAATGTTTCAGAGTTATGAGAGCCAAGAGACAAGGTGAGTCAATGCAAACTCTGTGGAAACCTTAATGAAACTCTCCTGCATGCCTAGTGGCTGGTGGGATGAGTAATGATGCTGAGGGTCCAGCAGGAGAGAAATGGTGCCTATCTGGGTGCTAGTCAATACACCATCCCTGCCTGGAGCCCCACTTCTCCGTTGACCCCTAGACACTGAACAGAGAGCCAGCAACAGAGGCAGGACCATTGTTCACTGTGCTATCCTCGTGCTGATAACTGGTTCATATTTGAGGTCTGAGAGAAGCTCAGTCAACCTCTCCACGGGCTCCCCCAAATTCAGATACCCAAGGCTTGGTCTGCAAAACCCATGCCGGAAATATTCCATAGAAGAAGGAAAGGTAATCTTGGAAACATGGGACTTAAATCAATTACTCTCCAAAAGTCTTAGGAGAGCACTGAACATATCTAACGCATCTGCCATTTTGTCCTTTCTTCTTCCTTCCTCCAGCTGAATAGAGGACTGCGAAGCTCCCACCACCACTATTACCTCACACACACTGTGCATATCTCCTTGAGTCTGAAGGGCATGAGGGCTTCCCGCCTTTGCCGACAGCGCTCCCTCAGCACCAGAAGTTGAGCCCCCACTTTCAAGTAAACTCACATCCTTGGAGGTTGAAAATGACCCTGAAAAGAAAAACTCACACACAGCAACAAGATGCAGCCTTGCTCCTTGGAGATTCAACTGAAACGCCCCTGTCCTTGCCAGCAGACATTTTAAAAGACGTCTTTTTTTTTTTGCAGTACGTGGGCCTCACACTGTTGTGGCCTCTCCCGTTGCGGAGCACAGGCTCCGGACGCGCAGGCTCAGCGGCCATGGCTCACGAGCCCAGCAGCTCCACGGCATGTGGGATCTTCCCGGACTGGGGCACAAACCCGTGTCCCCTGCATCGGCAGGCGGACTCTCAACCACTGCGCCACCAGGGAAGCCCCAAAAGACGTCTGTCTTTTATTTCACACATGCCCCCAACTTCTTACCCCAATGCTTCTGAAAAGTAGCTAATGCTTTGAGAGTTTCCTCAGCTTGGGAACACAGTCGACTTTTGAGGTACCCCCACAGACCACTTTATACTTAAATAAGTGGGATAAATAGTATGGGGGAGTTGGATCCAGGACGGGATGCCAAATGACTCTCCAACTCTGCCCCCAAAATTAAGCCCTAAAAGTCACTGAATTCACCAGATAATACCCGATCCCGCAGAGACATGCTTCTCCTCAGACTGAGGTTGCAGAAGCCTGCTTGTCAGGAGGGCATAATTGTAATTTTCCTTGTATTGGGCTGAAATGTGACAGACTCTTTCCTGGAATGAAACATTTATGAAAATGATGTGCTTAATCCATTTTTAGCAGCTCAGTAGTTTTTTCATGATGAAATCATCTTTCATCCAGTAAAACGTTTTACTTATTGTAGTTTCTACGCAACCTCCTGCTGCAATCCAGCCACTTATCGTGGCCAATGGGAAAACCAATTTCAAAAGAGGAAAAGGGTGCAATACATTTTGGAGCATGGAGATTCCCATACACCATAGTTTGATAATAAGAAGAGAAAAAATTTGTGGGGCGAGGCTGGACACAAATTTGTGCCCCTCCCACACCAGAAAATGCTGAGGTCATCTTCAGAAAGTGTGGCTTCCTATTAGTAGAGGGAACTCTTGGATGGTCATCTCCCCTGCTTCTTGTCACCTCCTAGGAGCAGCTTACCCAGTTCTTTGCCTCCCTGGCCTCCCTCCTTCTCCCAAAGCCTTTCAGCACCCTTGGGAAGCCGTATCCCTTCAACATACTGGCCAGACCCTTGGTCATGGTGGCAGCCTTTCATAAGAAGGGATCTTTCCTCCCAGGAAACTGATCCCGCTGTGTTCTCAGCACTCAGGGACCCCACGGGGCACAGAGGGGGTGAGACCTGAGACAATGGACCAGTCCCCAGAGGGCTGTGCCTTCCATTAGCCAAGAATCCCAGATGACTGAAGGTGACGCCTCAGGACTAAGGGGCAAGAGAATGAAAACTGCTTTCTCATTTCCCTTTATTACCATTACTTCATGCCGTCTCTCTCTCTCTGTGTCAGACTCATCATTCTCATTTGACAGAGAAAGATGCAGAGGCACTGGCTTGGGGAAGTATCTCTGGGTGCCCGGAATGCATCTTAACATATGTTCACTAGTTGCCTGGAATGTGCCAAACTCTGGGCTGGGCCCTGGGGATTGGGTGGCTCACGTGTCTCTACCCTCAGGAAGCTTGAGAGGCCTGTAGTGGGGAGAGAGTCAAGTAAGCGGGCGGCTTTAATGGAGTATGATGGTGCTGTGAAGGGGAAGGTGAAGGTCCTGTGGGAACACATTGGAGGGTCTCCTAACCCAGACCTGAGAAGTGACAGGGGCAGTTCAAGAAGTCTTCCTTGAGAGGGGGACAACAAAACTTAGTCCAGAAGGATAAGAGTGGAAGGAAGAGTACTCTGGCAGAGGGAACAACTTGTGAAACAATGTGGAAGCTGGAGAGACAGGGGTCTCAAGATGCATCAGGGGAGGAGCAAGAGTGACCAGGTCATGCAGCGCCTTGAACTTCAGCTTAAAAGAAATAGGGAAGAGTTGAGGAAGGGGAAGTGACAAAATCAAGTTTGTCAGAGGGAGTGAGTTAAATAGGATCAAGTGCTTCTGCTGCCCACCCCCCTTAGTGCCCTAGCCTGCAGCTCTGCCCTGAGAGGTGCTGTAAGGCTTGGTTCCTGCCCATGGAGTGGGGATTGTGATGCTTACAGAAAACACGGAGGGAGGGTAAGCAGGTGAAAGAGCTGCTAAAGATATTTTCAGGAAAATTAGTATTTCGTATTTTGTACTTACTGGCCATATAAGCATGATTTCAGGCTTGTAATGTTTCCAGTCCCAATTCCAAAAGCCCAGCTCCGCCATCAACATTTCAATATGAAATCTTTAAAATTATCTTCTTTCCCCTTCATTGGTGGTTTAAAAATTCCTCTTCTTTAATAATAACACAACCACAAGGGAGATGCAGCACAAGTTTTACCCATCATTGCCTCTAAGTGGGTCCCTTTGAAGAGCTTGCAATCCCCGCACACCCTTTTCTGGTGGGGCTGAGGGGCCACAGTCAGCGCTGGAATTGACCCCTATAAAGTGACACCGACCCCTCCCCTGAGTACACACTCAAGAACTCAGATGAGCTGTTGTGAGAGTTTCCACTGCAGAATAAATGAAGACATTTTGCTTCTCACAGTCGTAATTTAAAAAGAGAGCATGAGAAAATGGAGATAATGGGAAGTTGAGAGAGAAAACGGGAATGGAGAGAAAGTGAGGGTGAAAGAAGAGGGGGAGACAGACACAGAAGGTGAGACCCAGAAAAGACACAAGAAGGGAGATTAGAAATGGAGAGAGTAAAGATGAAGGAAAGCTACAGGGAGAGAGGGAGGAAGAAAGTAAGGAAAAATAGGGAGGGAGGGTGGATGAGGCACTCGCGGAAGTCCCAGAGCGGTTCAGGGGGGGATTGAACAAGGTTGG